AATTGACATTTGACAAAATTCTGGTAAGATTAAGCAAATTAAAAAGGACAAATATCTGGAATGAAGGGGAAAACATAACTCTAAATGCTGTATATGTTTAAAAGATAAGATACCAAAAAAAAAAAAAGATAAGATACCAATGAACTTATGCCAATATATTTGAAAAACGAGATGAAATGGAAAAATTCTTTTAGAATATAACTTATCAAAACAGTCTCAAGGAGAAATAGCAAACCTGAGTAGTTCTGTATCATTAAAGAAACCGCATCAAACGTTTTTAAATCTTCCTATAAAGTCCAGACCCAGAAGATTTTCCAACATTAAACATTCAAGAAACAATAATTCTAACTTTACACAAATTATTCCCGAGTTCAGAAAGCAAAGGGAACACTCCCAGGCTTATTTTAGAAGGCTAGTCTGACTGGTGGGTCTCAGAACATGGTCTAGGAACTCCAGGGGGTCCCCACGACCGTTTCAAAGGGTCTGAACTGTTTTCATAATAGTACCGACATTATTTTTTCAATTTCATTTTCCAGGGGCTACACGATGTGTGACATTGCAGAGAGTCAATGCAGAAGTAGATATGAGAATCCAGCTGTCTTCTATTAAGCTTTTCCAAAAATAATGAAAAATATCAACTCTCATATTCGAGATGCTCAATTCCAAGCAGAACATATACAAAGAAAGCCCCACCTAGACAGGTCAAAGTGAAACCACTAAAAAGAAAGCCAAAGAAAAATATTGAAAGCAGCCCGAGGAAAGAGAAATCTATCCAAGGTATACTAAAAAGCTACATGTAACAGGCAAAACTATAAAATATTTAGAACACAATAGAGGATCTCTATGACTCTGGGACAGAGAATGATTTCTAAAACAATATGAAAAGTGCAAACCATAAAAAGATCAATGCAGGGTTACAATTTAAAACTTTTGTTCATCAAAAGATACTGTAAGGAAGTAAAAAGACAGTCTACAAACCTAGAGATATTTACAATACATACAACCAATAAGGACTAGTAACCAGAATAAAGAACTCCTACAAAGCAATAAAAACAAACAAAAAGTAGAAAACTGGACAAAAGACCGACACAGAAATTTCACAGAGGAGAAAACAAAAATGGCCCATGAACATCTGAAAAGCTGTTTAGTCTCATTTATGGTCAGGGAAAGTAAGACCACCCACCAGCGTAGGGAAACAGAAGAGTCAAACACCTCCAAGTGCTGGTGAGGACCTAGAGCCACAGCAGTTCTCCTGGTAGAATGACCTGGCTCCAGTCCCACATGGTCATCAGAAGGGCTGGAATGAAGAGGAGGCCGATACCCACTATGTTAGAGTCCTAGGCATCACACTTCACATTTTGCTTACTATCAATCATAGTTTGGGTCCCCCGTCCTCACCCCTTCCTAAATGAAGAACCAAAGCCAAGGATGGGGGTGCAGGTCGTTTACTTACTTGGGAGGTGATCTCAGAAAGCTAAAGTGACCGAGCAAGAAGAGAGAGATGGGGAAACAAGGGGAGGCCAAGAAGGAATGTGTTAAGCTGTTGCTGCTGTGGGCGACGGGGGCCCCAAGGGCTGCTAGGAACCCTCCAAAGAACCGTGTAGACTACCTCTTGCCCCTAAGGAGGATGAGAGGCTTGGGCATTTAACTGCCAACTCCTATCCACTACTGCTTGAGGGCTGCCTGGTACTGTAATATTATCAGCTCAGATCCTGTAGTAAACAGCTCTCCAAAGGTCTGGATATTATCCCTTCCTTGATGTACAGTGAGTCTAACAAAGAGCTGCAGTTCCCTTTAGAAAGGCCGCGGGGGGTGGGGGGCATTTGTCTCTACTTGTAGGGATGTCACAAGACATCCAGTCTCCTTCTCAATCCATGGGACATGGGTCTGGGAGCTCACATTTGAAAACTAGGTGACAAACATTAGCCTGCTTGCCAGCTCTTGGTTTTTTTTTCTGGTTATACAAGTCAAGCAGCACTCTAGTTGGCCGCGCATCTATCTATACTGCC